CACACCCAAATGTTGGTGTATCTTTATCTTGTGGCCTGTTTTGTATTCTCCTGATGCTAATAACTGCTCACAACTATATATTATTGAGTCCTGAGTGGTTTGGTGACAGAAATATGGTCCAGGCAAATAATAAATTGCCTTACTTCTTAAGCAAGTGGATCATTTAGTGGTGTTCCCACGCTCTTCCATTTCTCTCCATCTCACAGTCTTCCTCCGTGAACTGTGGCAGTGAAATCCTCTCCTGGGCTGCCCAATCTCTGAATATGGAGATGCTCTAGAGTCTAGATTCTGTGGGGCTCTAGTTCTTGACTTCGGCTCACACTGTCTTTACACTTTGCTAGACGTTTTGCCAGTGAAGGTGCATCCTCCCCTCATAGCGATCAAACAACAACAGAACACTATAGGGTTTTATAATGAAAGCTACTATTTGGTTGAAACAAAAAAGGCAGGGGGAAAAGCATTCACATTCTTATTATCAGAAATCACAGTGACAATCGTGGTCATTTTGTAAACTTTTCTTCAACACAATTGTAAAATGTGTAATATTTAAATCAACAACAAGTATCATATTTTTAATGAGAGGGTTCCCATTAGGATGGAAAAAGACCTGGGTCTTAACTTGGATAGAGTAGATGTCATGGGGGACATTCAAATTGCATCAAGTCTGGCCTAAATTATTTAATAAGTAGTTAAAAGTTTCTTGTGTTAAAGTGAATAGGATCTCCCAGAACCACAAACTAAGGAAAAGACATTTTTATTGCAGAACATTCCCTTAAGATGTAGATAATAAACAAAAATCAATTCCCTTCTCATGCCTTGGTAGTGGCTAGGATTTCAGGAGAGTAATCACTGCCAAAACACAAGCAAACTCACCTCTCCTGACCCATAGCAGAATATAATGACTGAAAGGTATAAATTCATAAAAGATTATATCTAATTGCCACAAACCAGAACAAATCGGAAATCATGTCCAGAACCAACTCTCTTTGCATGCTTAGTTATGAAGTCTTTTACCTGAAGAGGACATGACATCTTGCAGCTGAAGATACGGGTGAAAAACTTTGCAACAATTTGGATGAGCAACTTGGAAAAAAATGTACTTTGTCCCATGGGAAAGGGTAGACAGAGCTACTAGACCAGTAGTAACTTTGCAGGAGGAAAGGAACAGTTAGAAACCTATCTCTCATATCCACATTCAGGATGCCTGCCTAGAAATGAGGCTCAGTCAAAAACGCAGAGAAATGACCCGTTGCTCAAACACTGCCACAACCATTACCATCATCAAGTAAAGACAACAACAGGGTGCATCAGGGAAGTTAAAATCAAGATTCTCTCTAGGGAGAGTGAAAGTGAAGACAAAACCAAACAGAAAACGAAAAGTGAGGCTTTATAGAGAAATCTGAGAACTTCAGTAGTTTTAGGAAAACATAACTTTAACTGTGATGGATGGACATTGCATATAGTTAATTACAAATGGAGCTCTGTCTACATATTCATAGACCTTGACAATAAAAGTCTAGCATCAGTTAGTCATACTCACTCCACAAGGGAACACATCATATATACACAATATGCTGATATGTATGGTCATATTGAACATATCCATCTATCCACAAAAAGTGGTGGGTAACACAAAAGAGTAAGAAAATAGACATAACTGATACAGCATCAACATGAGATTCACATTTGACAGAGATGGACACTAGAAAATTTCATATGAGATTCAAACTAAATGTGATGATTATATTAAAAAATCTGAAGGAAAAAGTCAATGAATGTGTGTGTTAGTCTGGGCACTTAAGAGAAACAAGTCCACAGAAACTCATGAATAAGAAAGAGTTTTATATAAAGGGTAAGTGTGCATCAAGAAAACACCCCAGCACAGTGCTGTCCAAGCCCACAAGTCCAACATTAACCCATTAAACCATAGGTCCCACAGCAATCCACAAAGTCCTCCTCCATCTCACAAAACGGATGCAATGATGCCAACTGCAGGAGGAAAGCTGAATCAGTGAACATGCAAGCATCTCAGTGCTGGCAGGAGTCTCCACACGACTGCTCCAGCACCCAGCGATGCATCGGGGTAGGTCCATGTGGCTTCTCCTCAGGGACATCCTGCAGGAAGTGAGCCCAGCCTGCTAAAGCAGAGAACTGGCCAAGGCAGCTTCACCCTGGCCCGACCATCAGAAAGCAAGATACCCGAGAACTTGAAAGGCGAGGCTCACTGAGCCATTTATCCCTCCGCCCTTCAATTAATCCCACATGTGTTTATCAGCCAGGTTGGCACAATAAACTAACTAACTCAATGTGCTATAAATAGTATTATAAGGAAGGCCACAAAAAAGGTGACCTAATAAAAAGAGAAACATAAAATGAAAATTAATTTTTTGAACAATTATAATAGAAAAATAAAGAACACTTCTAGAAAACAATGTATAATATGTTTAAGGGAAACAAAGAACACAGAAAAAAGTAGATAATGGAGCTCAGTGCAGCTCAGACCCCTTTCTTCAACTGGACCCCTGGAATCACACTGACTTCTCTCCGCCTCGTTTCACTGTGATATGTACATGGTAATAGCCTGGGCAGCAATGGAGGTCGGCGATAAATGAATTTGACTATGAAAGGGGTCACTGGTGACATGTACTCAAGACATCAGAGTTGGAGTATAGTCTGTGCTTTCAACACTCCATAGCATACCAACCCACAACTGATTTCAGAGAATCTAGAGACAGAACAGGTGAGCCACAATGTCTGGTAATTTTACAAGTCCTGGTTCAACCCTTGTAGCTGCACCTGGAGACAGTGAGAATTCCCAGAGCTTCATGTTTCAGTCCCTGAGCCACTCACCTCTGAGAGCTACCCCCAAGAAAAGGAAGAAAGCGAAATATTCTTGGGAACGAAGTCCATGATTCCCAGGTGTATTATCCAGAGTGAGTAAAACATAAACTAACTACTGTATTATGAGACTCTATCTGATGGACTATGTGGAGATTTCCATGTGATGATACTTTTGTAATAAAGTTAGAAAGGAGTTCATTTGGAATGAGAATGTTGACTGTTTCTTCAGAGAACACAGGTCTTTCCATGACTTTTCTACTCACTGAGAGCAAGGTCCTGTTTTTCCAGGCCACAAAAAGTGATTAGGAAGATGGTTGAGGAGGTAGACATGGCTTAGGATTGAGAATGAGTGTGGTAATAAAGGGAATGATCCTTTACTCTCAGGGATTTATATATTTATAAGACACTCACAGCAAATCGTAGGACTTTTAAATTGTCAGATGCATATTTTCTTGTCTGCATTAGATTATGGTGATATTATTAGATATTCAAAAATTTGAAGATCAGCTAAATCTAGCAATCTCATTGAATTCAGTCCAAAGTGGCTCTCATTCAATTATTGTTGTAAATAGGATGGATGGATATATAGATGGAGATATATATATAGATATAGATATATCCATATATTTATCATTTTATTGGGCTCATACAACTCTTATTACAATCCATACATACATCCACTGTGCCAAGCACATTTGTATATTTGCTGCCATCATCATTCTCAAAACCTTTTTCTTTCTACTTGGGCCCTTGGTATCAGCTCCTCATTTTTTTCCCTCCCTCTCCCATTCTCCGTCCCTCACAAACCCTTGATAATTTATAAATTATTATTCTTTTTGAATTATTATTATCTTTTTCAAGTCACTGCAAAAGAAGATCTTTTCTTCCACAACTACACTGCTATGTCTACTCAGAATCATTTTATAAAGGCAATGTACGTACAAGCAGGCCTGATTCAATTGATGTATGGATTGTGACAGGAGTTCTGCGAACCCCCAATAAAATGATTTTAAAATAAATGTATTACAATGCTAAAAAAAAAAGAATCATTATACTATTGAAAGAACATGTCACCCTAAAGCAATTTACCTTTGACACGGAAGTTATTTCTTATCCAGAAAGCCTTCATTAATAATGTTATTCACACCTAATCTTCAATCTTGTATGGAATTGTTTACTGAAATACCTGAAATTCCCCACGTATGGTTGTGTGTCACTAGATAATGGAAATGTTACTGATATCATACAATAAATTAGTAGCAAAGCCACCAGAAGTAGGGTGAGGTGATTAACAGGACAAATATGGAACTTCTGGGTGAAAGCAGAAACAGTGGGTTCATATTCTGTGAGACTGTGAAGGGGAAGATACAACATGTGACATGAAGAACTGAATGATACCATTTGACCACAGAAATCTCCCTGAATCCTGATTTTGCACAGACAAGTTAGTGTCTGTCTTGACCATTGTGGTCTAAAGGTTCTGGAGGACAGACAGGTACAAAATATTAGCACCAAGGTAATAAAAGGCAATTGATGAGTTTATGGGCTTGCACATGGGATTACAGAAAAGGCACACACAAAAATACCAGGCCACCATGGTTAGGAAAAACCACCAAATCAAACAACAACAACAACATGTGTCATTTGAAGAAGCAATTCAATAAAATAGGCTGACTGGCTAGATTTCGACCAAATGATTGTCCTTACAAAGTGTGATGGAAGAATGTACTGTCAAACTTTCAGCCAGTCGTCCAACACTTAGTATCTACTTTACCTTCACCGTGACTCTGATCGGAGAGTGTTTAGTGAGTGTCATCAGAACTCTGATGCAGGGACCCCTGACAGAGACATTTCTTGTCCTTAAGGCACAGGCTGTTTGTTGCTATAGGACAGACGATATTCTCCTGTTACAATATAACTGTTGAATTCACAGATATCAAAAATAGGCACAGAATTATTATTTTTAAGTTGGAGTGATTCCCTAGGGTAACAGTGAGATTTACAAAAATCCACAGATCATCACAGGAAACCAAACTTGAAGCTCCAGCTGCACCTGCTTCTGGGGCTGTGTCCTGCCCTATATGGGTCCTGAGCGCCCCCTGGAGACCAGTCTCCTCCCTGCAGGGGAGGTTTGTGTCTGGGCTCTCACTGACTTCTCCTCACTGTGAGACTCTTGCACAGTAATACATGGCCGTGTCCTCTGCTTTCAGGCTGTCCATTTGAAGATAGACTGTGTTCTTGGAGTTGTCTCTGGAGATGGTGAATCGGCCCTTTACGGACTCTGTGTAGTAAATACTACCGCTATCATACTTTATGGTTGCCAACCACTGCAGGCCCTTCCCTGGAGCCTGGCGGACCCAGCTCATCCAGTAGTCACTGAAGGTGAATTCAGAGGCTGCACAGGAGAGTCTCAGGGACCCCGCAGGCTTTCTCACATCTCCCCCAGTCTCCACCAGCTTCACCTCACACTGGACACCTGAAAACACAGAGGCACCGTGATTAGAAGATACACATACAAACAAAACCACTCACAGTAATACACATACACAGCAGGGCCTACAGTGATTACCATGTAAAATGTCCAAAACGTATGCCAAAGTTGGTGCAACATTCATTATGTGTCCTGGGCACAAAATGGAAACAGAAGAGATGGAAGAGACTGGACTGTCCCCTGAGATCTCCCACATCAGGGGCTGTGGCCTGTTTATCAGCAGGCAGAGAGCTGCATTTGCATGTCCCCTGATATTTAGAAGCAGATGAGTAAGGAATATGGGCAAGAGTTCTCCCTCAGACTCAGACAAACACAAGCACTCTCAAGCGAAAATAGAGCTCTTAAATGGGTTCTTTATCAAGCATTGCTTCAATTTTTGTATATTATTAATATTTTAAAAGTAGTTTTCAGTTTATAAATTTGATATTCCACACACAACAAACTGTGTGGTGTTAGAGGTCACCATGCATCTTCTCTCGTTCCCCTTAAGATGTGGATGCACATGACGATGGTGGACAGTTCTATTATCTGTTTCTTGTGTGGAAACATGACTGCTTTTCTTGCTTTCCAAGGCATTTCCTTATGTCAGTAATCTTTTTTTATAATGAAATTTATTTATTTATTTCATTTTATTTATTTATATTTTAATAGTTTTATTAGGGGCTCATACAACTCTTATGACAATCCATACATACATCAATTGTGTAAAGCATATTTGTACGTACATTGTCCTCATCATTCTCAAAACATTTGCTTACCAGTCAGTGATATTTTTACACTGTGGGCATGAGGTTGTTCACGAAACATGTCCAGAAACCATGCAGAATGGTTTCTCCTCTCTGATTTCTGATCTGGAAGATTCCGCTCCCCTTTCTTTTGTCATGATCAGGAAAACTGGATTTTCATCAGTTTACTTCATCTTCTCAAATAGTCAGTTTTCATGTAATTGGCTTACTTGTTGTGTTCCTACTATTTCATTTATTTCACTTCCTTTATATATTTTTTTCCCCTGCTACCTATGTTGTGGCCTATGCATACTCATATTTTTCTATTTACACTAATTGGAAACAGAGGTAATCCATTTCAGAGTTTTATTTTTATATTATACAAATGTGTGCTGTTGAGGATTCCCCATGCTTAAGTTTTTTTCAGTTGTATTCCATGGTTTGTTGTCTTGTGATTTCATTTTCATTCAATCCAGTACAGCCATCCAGGACATGAAACACATTAAATTCATGTTAATTATACAATACTATATGCATATTTCAATGTATGCATAACTCACATTCACTCACTGCCATTGAGTCAATGGAGACATGTAGTGACCCTATAGGACAAGGTAGACGTGCCCCTGAGCATTTCTGAAACTATAACTCTTTACTGAAGCAGAAGGCCCCATTTGTCTCCTGTGGAACAGCTGGGTGGTTTTGAACTCCTGAGCTTTCAGATCACATCAGGTTAATTAGTAACACTACACCACAAAGGACATGTATGCATACATGCATATATTTGTGTTTATGCATACAACATATAAATGACTGAGTATTGTGATTGATGTGGGGTATTGCTCAAAGTATTAAGGAAGAGCGGATTCTTGGAGCAAATAATTTGGAGGAAAAGGAAGCCCTAAGTACCAGCAAGAAGCTCCTTTCTCCCATGTCTCCACCATTGCCCTTTCCCCAGAGCCTGGCTCCTGTGCTTTGTGCAGCCCATGTGATCTCTATAGACTGATATCATTATTGCAGGGAAGGTTGTGCATGGGATGACATTGGGTCCTCTCACTGTTCCTCTCACAGTCATGGACAGCTGTACCCTTGGTGGTCATTGAGCTCAGCTGCAGGGAGACTCCTTGTGGACATTCTTTTTGAGCTTGAGAGGTAACTCAATTGAGATGGGCAATTGTTTTCTTCTACTAAAATATATTGAGAACAAGTACTCCCATATCTTCTGCAGGTTTTGTTAGATCCTGCTCCAGACATATGTTCTTAGCCCAGACAGCAAATTTTAAGGTAATTCTCTGTGAGGGTTTCATCACTCCTGGATCCAAATACTGATGCAGTACCTGTCACAGGACATCCAAAATAATCAGTGACGACAACTAATTCAATTCTCTTTTGTGCCAAACCATTTTTGGAATCTTTTCGTATTACTGGAAAGAAGTAATCACCAGGCCAAAGAATATCCAAAAGAAAATCAGAATTTATGGACAAATTATGTAGTTCTTAGAGAACTCTGCCCACAGTGTGATATTTTTCACCAAGTTTTGAAATTTAACCTGGAAATTGAAGGGTTGATCTGGATGTTAGAAACCCCAGAAGAAAAAGGAAAAGAAAGTAGAGAAACTTCCAATCTTTTCTTAGAAACTGAAAAGAGAAAGTCTAATGTCCTCCTTTTCTCTGGGACTGGCCTCCATTTATGTAGAAATCAAGGTCTGTAAGCCGAATATCAGAGAAACACTCAGGACATAGAAAGCACAGAGAGTGTTAAGAAATTCTGATTTCATTAAAACCACAATTAATAATGGACATTTATTCTAACATGTCTTCCCATTTGTCTGCATATTCTCTTGAGAGTTAACTCCTCTTTCTTTATCATAACATCTCACTTAATACCAGTTGTGTTAGTGAAACAGGTACAGAGTTTTGAAATTCAAAATAAGCAAAGGGCATGAGTAGGTACTTGACTAAAGGAGACATTCATGTTGCAAAGATTTAATTATATTGACACCCATTATTCATTGGTACTATTGTTAGATTGGATTTGTTTGTTTTTGAGATATTTTCTTGGAATGGGTGGTTATAGAATGGCCATATTTTTTTGTAAAGCATTTTAAGCACTTTCACGAAGTCATTTTTCATATTTATGCTCAATGCAATTGGGGGTGTGATTTCTTGTTTGTTGCTTCCATGGGTGCTCCTTGTGCATCACAGCAACACAGAATCATTGAAAATGTCAGCAGCTTCTCGATGCACCATGCTACTTAACAAATAACCTGAGAAGCTGTACTAAATGGAAAATGCAACACTAGGTTGTAGTACACCCTGCTAATAATATGTGATACGCAGATGACATAACACTACATGTTATAAGATACATGATTTGAGAAATTTACTGCTGAAGTCCAGCAATTGCTGCCTTCACTGTAAATTACAATTCAATGTAAAGAAAATCAAACACCTCACTGTAGGACCAATGGAAAATGGAGGTAAGAGTGAAGTTATGATGGAGTTCCTCTTGCTTGGGTCTACAATCAGTGTTCATGGATTCTGCAGTCAATCAAATGACACATTTTATTGAGCAACTCTGCTGCATAGACCTCTTTAAAGATTGAAGAGCAAGGAGATCTCTTTGAGGACTAACAATGCATCTGGCCCAAGATGTGAAGTTTTCAATGGTCTCATATGCACGTGAAAGTTGGACAATGAATGAGAAAAATCAAAGATTGAACGATGTATTTGAATTATGGTACTGGTGAATAATTTGACGGTATGATGGACTGGCAGAAGAAAAACAATTGGATATTAGATGATGTACACATTTAATGAATAATAGAAAGAAGTGAGGATATGATTACTTCATCTCAAGAACGTTGGATATGGGTCAAGGAAATCAGAACTTGGGAAAGGACGTCATGCTTGATAAAGCATAAGGTCATTTTAAAATGGTTGATTTTTAAGAATATAAATTGGCACAGTAACTGCAACAAAGGCCTCATACATGACAACTGTGAGGATGAAGCAAGACCTGTGCTTCTTTCTTTTTCCTCTAGGGTTGCCGTGGGTCCAAACTGATTTGATAGGACTTAAAACAGCAAAATGCAATGCCAATAACAGACATTGCACTCCATGGAGAGAAAGTGCACGCATTCACCTTTCAAGTTGGAACCAGATAAGGATACCATTAAATGCCAATCATTTCATATCGTGCTGTAACTCTTTTCTATAGCTATCAACTAACAAATATAAAATGAAGGCATCCCATATGGCAACAAAGAAGCAAAACCTTTTATAATTGCTGATGATATCATTCTAAAGATAGAAAACCCAAAAGCCCTAGAAGAAAATTATTGGAACTAATTGAAAGGCTAAGCAATTTCACAGGTGTAAGGTCAACAGAGAAAAAAAATAAGTTTGATTCTCATGTACCAATAAAGCTCTGAAAAGGAAATCAAGAAAATAATAGAACTTACACTAGCCACCTATAAGAAAAAAATAAATTAGAATAAACCTAAGCAGAGAAACAAAAGTATTGTATGAAAGAACTATTTTAAAAACAGTACTCTAAGATACCAAAGCACAAACACATAAATATAATAATGGGTCATGTTCATGAATAGGAAGCCTTAACTTGTGAAAATAACACACCTTAAGCAATCTATAATTGTAATGCAGTTCTGATTCAGACTTAATGTTTTTCTTTAAGGACATGGACATTAATCACCGAGTTTTAAAAGAAATTATTCATCAAATTTTAAAAGAAATGAAATAGACCCAGGATAAGCAAGGTCAAAACCACTCCTTTATACCTAGCATATCCTGTGGTGTAGTGAATTACACAATAGACTCTTAATTTCAAGTACTGTAGTTCAAGACCACAATGTACTGTTCAGGATAAAGATGAAGCTTTCTGATCCTGAAAATTTTAGTCTCAAAAATCCAAAGGTACATTTTTCTTTTGTCTTTTTATGTCTATGAGTCTTGATGGACTCGACAGCAGCTGGTTGGGTGTTGGGATGGGGGTCATCCCTATAACTGCACCTGAGATGGACCTCAGGGAAAAGGACAATCACAGTAAGCCATATGTTCAAGTGGGTGATCCCTAGACTTTTGTCTCTGAATCCCTAAGACACTCTCCTCCGGAAATGTCCAACAGAACAAAGACTCACTTGTGTTTCAGGTTTTCTGGATGTGAATTAGCCATCTTCTAGAGAAGATACTACAGATTATATATATATATATATTCTTCTAGAGACGATACTAGAACAGATTATATATAGCCAATGATCACACAACAGAATGTTTCATTAATCCAAGGCAGATGAACCATCTCAAGAGATTATTTAATAAATATTGTGCATTTTAAAATTAATGAATTGAAATGTGAGGACACAGTGTTGCATGACTTTGCAAGATGCACAGAGAAGAGTCAGTATTAAACCCAATGGAAACCTAACAATATCAACATATGCAATATTTTCCAGTCCTTCTAAGTTAAAATAATTACATGCATTTGTGATCATTCACTGGAATCCAGCTGATGGCATGGAGAAAATTTGGAACTCACATGAGAATTTCATATTGCGTTAATATTTTTATAAGGAGACTTGGTGACATAGTGGTTATGCCTTGGGCTGAGTTTTGCATGTCAGTAGTTTGCAAACACCAGCCATTCTATGGAAAGAAGACAGGAGGATCTAATGCCACAAATATCAGAAACCCACAGTGGTGTGACTATAAATTGGCATCGACTCGATGTTAGGAAGTTCATTTAATATTTCTAACTTTGACAACAAACAGCACTAGTTAGTACCCTGAATTGTAAACTGAGATCTCATTATTATTTATTACTGTGAAGTCTGCCTTTGGATAGATGGTGAAAGATAGACAAAGGCCATTCCAATGAAAAGAAGGCATGTTCAGATGCATGAAGATTCCCCAGAGTCACTGTGCATGGTGGTCCCTAGGGAGGTGCTGGCAGGTGGAGAAACCACAGCTTCTGAAAGGAAAGCATGACTGACTTCTCTCTCTTGCATCTGCTGAAACCCTGGCCTGTTGCAGGGAGGTTTGTGTCTGGGCTCACACTGACTTCCCATCACTGTGTCCCTAGCACAGTAATACACGGCTGTGTCCTCAGGATTCACAGAGCTCAGTTTTAAAGAAACTTGGCTCTTGGAGGTGTCCCTGGTGATGCTGACTCGGGACTTCAGAGCTGGATTATAGTATGTTTTCCCATCATAAGCTATTACCCCAATCCACTCCAGTCCCTTTTCTGGAGCCTGTCGGATCCAGTTCACACCATAGCTGGTTAAAGAGAATCCAGAGACAGCACAGGTGAGAGATACGGTCTGTGAGGGCTTCACCAGTCCTGGACCTGACTCTTGTAGCTGCACCTGGGCCAGGACACCTGTGGATAAAGAGAAACACAGAGAGTCATGTGCTTAGATGCTGCATCCCCAGACTTCATGTGTGAATCCCTGAAGCACTCACCTCCCGGAGTTGCCACCACAAAGAGGAAAACCCACACACAATTCATGTTTATGTGGATAAGATTCGTGACACCCAGAAAATACTCTTCAGGGTGAGAAGGAATGTGAATTTAAGTCCATGCATGCTGTGGTTTCATTTGGGTTCTTATTAGGCATTTGCATGTGGGAGGTGCATTTGTATGTAAAGGTGGAAAGGGCTGAATGGAGGCCCCTGGCTCTGGGACTCACACTAGAAAAGTGATGCTGGTGGTGTCCTTGGGAGAACACAGTCCTCTCTCCAACGTCTTTATTCTACCAACCCTAAGAACATCTGTTCATACTTTGCATTTAATGGAACTTTATATCCATTATCATCAGAAGTACCCAGATGATCTGGGGAAATTATAGAGAATCCCTATCCTCACGATTTAATGGAATCAAGATCAGTCTTTCCTGAATCTTTTTGTGCATCTGAGCACAAAGGGAAACACGTGTCTGTCTTCTCTAAAGCTCCTTCACCTAGGACAATGCAGAATATTTAGAAAGGAGTAAACGATACTTAAATGTTAGCTTCTAGATTTAGAGTTGGAATTTTAAAAAAGGTTTACTAACCATAGGGTTATTTGTGAGGTTCAAAGCAACCACAGAATTCATAAGCAGCTCGTTTTTCCTCCCATGAATTAGTACCCAGGGTGGGTATTGGGCTCAGCATATTCTGAGAGCCTCTGCTGACAGCATTCTCTCACATACAGGAGAAGTGTTTCCTGGGCTCACACTGTCTTCCAACTTCTGTGGATGAAATAGCAACATTTTCTCTGGTCCTAAGCATTCAGACTATTGGTCAGGAGTGTTATCTAGAGTTGTCTCTGCAGGTTTCCTGCCATGGGCAGTAGAGCTGCCATAGTGGTCAGCACAGCAGTTATAGCTGACCAGGCACTGTAGTCCTTATCCAGGCTCCTGTCTCATTTCTTTCTTCACTTGGTCCAAGAGCTGGTGGGTCCTTAGCATCCCTGACGGTCAGCTTTCTTCCTGAGGTTAGTTTTATGTCTGGACTCACACTGACTCTCACTGTGCAAATCTTTGGAGGAAGAGAGTGCTATAAGTTGCAAACACTCTGATTTGATTATAGTGGGAGGAAGTATGGTCTATAGCTATTGATACTGAGATTGAGAGATATGCCACAATAAAACACTGACTAAGAAAGAAGAAAATCTGCCTGAAAGACAATGAAGGCGTTGAACAGAGTTTATGCTTCATTCTTTCAACAGGAAGAGTAAACATAGTTAAGGCAGGTTTCAAGTAAGAAATTTAAAGTTATTTATTCCATGCTATGGAAGACAGTGGCAAGCCAGAATTCTCTTTCTGGGCTTCTGTTATGTGTGTGGTAGGAAAATTTGCAGATGTTGGTAATTGTGGAACACATTCATATTCTAATGCCACCAAATTATGCATGAGAAGACTGTTGAAAATATTATTTTATTGCATATATATTTACCATGAGTAAAATAAGTTGAAACATGACAGGTTTTTTTCACACATAATCATAAATGACAGAAAGTCTTGCTGGTACAACAATATTTCAAAAAACTAGCTGAATTATTGAGCTGGAAAAGAGATTATGAGATAAGCCAGAAATTTGAATAGACAAAAATGTTTAGCAATGGAATTGAATCTTTATTTAATACTTGATTAATTTTCCTCCAAAACCATTTTATTGGGAGCTAATACAGATATCATCTCATTCCACAGTTCAAACGTATTAGGCAGTATTGTATAACTGCTACCACAATCAGTTTGGAAACAATCTTTTCCTTCTTGAACTCCTTGCTATTGGCTCCCTTTGACCCCACCTCCACCCAACGCTATACACCCCAGAAACCCTTATTCTACTTGCCCTCTCTATATGCTCATCAATTTTGAGTTTCATCTACTGTAAAACAGAAAAAAAACCTTTAATAAAAGTCAAGTATGTTTCCCCCGATGACAAAATACATCTGAGATAACTCCGAGCGGAATTGGAAATTGAGGAAGCAGGCGGCCCACGTGCAGTCTGTGGGTCTTCCCTAGGGTCCATGGCAGACCCAGGTGGGCTTAGGACCAAGTATGTCAGTCCAGCTACTGGAATGTGATGACCTCGCTGGCTGACGGCCTCTCCCAAGGCTTCTGGATCCCCACCCTTTGGGTGGGGAGTCCTACAACACACCCTATGCCTTCTGCTGAGCATGTGCTAACCTTCCTCAAAATGGATGAAATGTACAAAACAACAAGAAAACCAACTCCCTGCCATTCAGTAGATTTCAGCTCGTAGCACAACCCTCTTTCTCTATCTTTGCTGTTGAGGAGGGAACACTGTTCTTCAACTGCAGCACCGACAAGGGATGTCTGCGCTGGCCGCAGAGTGAAACCACTGTCTGTGGGGACTGGTGTCCACTCCTGATGATGAGCCGACTCTGTCTCTTCCCCGTGTGCGCAAACTGCTGCTGCTTCCAATGCCTGTGTGTAAGCTGTGCTTTTGCCAGTGACCTCAGACATTGGTTGAAGAGAAATAGGCTGTTATGATGACCTTACACTACAAGTGAAGGGAATAATACATCTGGAAGGAAGAATAAAGTTATTTTTATAAATCCACTTTTTAAATTGAAGCACAACTAGTAAATCATTAACATGTTAATAAAGATAGTATAAATAGTGTCATGAATGATAGCACAAAAGAAGATGGCACAATCAAAATAAAAACACCAAGCAGGAAATTCTATGGAGACCAGGACAATGGAAAAAATAGAGCAATTCCTGACAAAGTATTAAATATGTTTAAACAAACTTCAGAATACACAGAAGAGAAACTAATGGATAAGCAACCCAAATAAGATACTAACTGAGAAACTCCATAGCCATAATCCACTGGCACCAAGTAAGTGCAGACTCACAGTGACCCTCCGGAGCAGAGCAGATCTGCTCCTCAGCATTTCAGACACTGTAAAACGTTCTTATCTTGGACAAACTGGCCAATTTTATTATGAGCTACGTATAGATAGTATTATATCAATGTTAGCTTTATTTTTTAATGTGCAACATTATTTTATAAAAGTAATCCTAAAAATCATTTTATTGGGAGTTCTTAGAACAATCCATACATCAGTTGTATCAAGCTCATTTGTACATATGTTATCATCATTTTCAAAGTATTTTCTGTCTACTTGAGTCCTAGGTATCAGCTTGTCTTATAAAAGTGTTTCTTAAACATATTCAAAATAAAAATGTCTTAAAACATTTGTTCAGCAACTAAGATCCTTTATCTTTTTCTGTTAAACCGTTTTATTAGGACCTAATCCAGACATCATACCATTCTATAGTTAAACATCTTAAACAGTGTTGTACAATCTTTATCACAATCAGAACATTTTCTTCCTTCTTGAGCTCCTTTATATCAACCCCGGTTTACTTCCCACCTCTCATGCTATTGCCCCCAGGACCCTTATTCTAGTTATTCTCTCTGTAGATTCACCCATCCTGGGTTTCATAAATGGAAAAACATGTAAAAATGCATATCAGGGAGTCAAAGGGCTACCAGCGACGACAAAATACAACCGTGATAAACTCCTACCTGAAAAAAAACAACCCACAGAAAATGTTAAAAAATCAAAGTGTATCAAAGTGTATCAAAGGGAGATCAAATGACAAGGTTTTAACCATTCAGGTCAGATTTATAATTTTAATCTACAATAGTCATCTCTCTAATGCTCTCTGCCTGATCACTAAGTTATTCCCATTCCTCAGTTATGATGAGAGGGAAATCACTGAAGGCGTCGTCCCTGTGTAGATCCTGAAAATGTTGTTTGAGCATCCACTGTCACCCACGCCCTTTTTGCACACCAGAATCTCATAATTTAAGCTTGGACACTATTCCCTCCTTTGGATTTGGATTATATCATTTACAATCCTTGTAAATCTTTTTAGAGTTTCATCTGGCTGCCTTAGTGTGGCTGGGGGTCTTGAACTACTGACCTTGCACATACGTCCCAATGTGAAATCCACTATGCCACCAGGAAGAGTAGAGTTGTATATAATCTTTGTATATATGACTTGTTACTTATTCATTACACTGTGTTATTTTCCTGATTGTTTGATAGCCACATAGTTAACCTTAATAAGCAATGGTATATGTATTGAATTTTAAATATTAAATAATTTAACAATTTCTGAATATAAAAGGGTGTAATATATTATTATTTTTATTTCAGGTAATTACACTTGCCTAGACAGAATTAATCTCAATTTTCTGAACCTCACTATATCAGAGATGTTTTTCCGCAACTTTTGAGGCAGTTTTACTCATAATGACTCTGTACAACAGAACAAATACACAGACTGCTGTGGTAGCTATATAATCGTTTATCAATTTGAGGATTAAGTGTGCAGGGGTGGAGTCTAGCCTGTCAATCAGATCATAGCCAATGAGGCCTCTGTGTGGGTATGGCCTTCTCCTGAGAATGCTGGGAAATCAGGATTTTCCTTCTTAAAGGCAGGAGACACTTCTCTTTCTCTGCTCACTTCCTGTGAGACATCCCTGAGCTGAAGCCAAAGGGACCTACCTTGATGCAGCCCTGGGAGTTGGAGAAGCCACATGGAGACCCTGACAGCACTGAGATGCTTACAATGCCACTGGATCCAAAGACTTTCTACCCACTCGCCTGTGATCTCCTGCATTCAGTGTCATTGAAGGTGTTTCTTGAGTCTGAAGAGGACTTTATAGATTGGTATCAGACATATGGGTGAATATCGGACTTATGGGCTTGGACTCGATTGGGTTGGGATGCTTTCCTAATGTACAATTGCCCTTTATATAAAACCCTCTCTTATACACATATGCATGTTTTTTACTTTGTTTCTCTAGTCTACCCGGACAAACACAACTGCCATGTTTTGAACCATCCTGACTTCCTCCTTAGTGTGAGAACACTGTGGCAGCCACTCTGCTGTACATCTAATTGAACATTTTCCTCTATTTTGCTGACACTCTGCCAAAATAGATGTTCTTCTGTAGGACCTGGTTCCCCTGATAACAGGT